ATGTTGGATAGCCATTTGTATGAAGTGGCGTAGGGTTTCCTGCCTAAGCATGGGGTTGGACTAGAAGACCTCCAAGGTCCCTTCCAACTGTGTTATTCTATTTCTATCCCTGACTCTAGAAAGAGTGCAGAGAAGAGCAACAGATGATTAGGGGCGTGGGGGCTAAAACATATGATGAACGGTTGCAGGAATTGGGTTTTTTTGTTTTATGAAAAGAAGGACTAGGGGAGACATGATAGCAGTATCCCAATATTTGAGGGGCTGCCACAAAGAAGAGGGAGTCAAACTATTCTCCAAAGCATCTGAAGCGATGGGTGGAAACTAATCAAGGAGAGAAGCAACCTAGAACTAAGGAGAAATTCCGACAGTTAGAACAACTAATCAATGGAAAAAAAACTTGCCTCCAGAGGTTGTGAATGCTCCAACACTGGACGTTTTTAAGAAGATGTTGGATAGCCATTTGTCTGAAGTGGCGTAGGGTTTCCTGCCTAAGCATGGGGTTGGACTAGAAGACCTCCAAGGTCCCTTCCAACTGTGTTATTCTATTTCTATCCCTGACTCTAGAAAGAGTGCAGAGAAGAGCAACAGATGATTAGGGGCGTGGAGGCTAAAACATATGATGAACGGTTGCAGGAATTGGATTTATTAGTTTAATGAAAAGAAGGACTAGGGGAGACATGATAGCAGTCTTCCAATATTTGAGGGGCTGCCACAAAGGAGAGGGAGTCAAACTATTCTCCAAAGCATCTGAAGCGATGGGTGGAAACTAATCAAGGAGAGAAGCAACTTAGAACTAAGGAGAAATTTCCTGACAGGTTAAACAGTTAACCAGTGGAACGACTTGCCACCAGAAGTTGTAAATGCTCCAAGGTTGGACGTTTTTAAGAAGAGATTGGACAGCCATTTGTCTGAAGTGGTGTGGGCTTTCCTGCCTGAGCAGGGGGTTCGACTAGAAGACCTCCAAGGTCCCTTCCAACTCTTGTTATTCTGACTGCCAAGCGCTCTGGAGCAGGGAGGACCCCAAGGGGAGCAGATGGGGGTCGTTGCCAAAGGAAGGGACGCCTTTCCAGGGCAACCACCCCACCAAAGCGGGGTGGCGTGGGGGCGAAGCCCAGGACGGAAGCTCACCGTTGGAAACGGCTCCCGAGGCTCATCCCGCTCCTCCTTCGGTCTCCTGCCGCGGGCCCTCTTCGCGGGGGAAGGTAAATCAAGTCGGACCAGCTCTATCCGAGCGATTTCCGGTTCCTGGGCGGGGCCGCGGGGATGGCGCTCCGGACGGGAATCGGGGCTGCGGAAATTTTCGTTCCGGGAGAATTCTAACGGTGCGAGTCTATGGAGATTTCTCAGCCATCCCGAAATTTTGCAAAAGGCAACTGGAGACTTTGGGGGTTTGGTTTTTTTTTTCTTCTCTTTGAAAACGTTTCGCTTCTCATCCAGGAAGCTTCTTCAGTTCCATCTCAGTCTTAGAACTGAAGAAGCTTCTTGGATGAGCAGCGAAACTTCTCCGAGGAAAAACAAAAATCCGGGAAATGCTTAAATATCTTATTAACTGATTTCGTTTCAGAATATGTTATAAAAGGTGTAATGTTATTGGAGGTTTATTGAAACTGCGAATGAATGCCAGTAGGTGGTTGTGTCTTTAAA